TGGATGGTGATCAGAGCCGTGACGGTCGTCGTGAGTATCGCTGTCAACCGGCTGGGAAGAGACGGTTGTAATTATAATGCAATTAAATGCAAAGGTGCAAGCGAGCTGGACAAGAATGATGAAAATAATCCCTGGAGAAGGGGAACAAGAGGGACAAAGGACAAACATAAGTCTCCAAACACAGCTAGGTGACTGGTGAGCGACCGAAAAAATCCGCCTGGTCCGGGTATCGAACCCGAGACCTCTCCATTACAAGTGGAGCGCTCTACCAACTGAGCTAACCAGGGGTTAGACGTCAGTAGAGCAAACGGGTTTTATCAGTTGCCACCAGTCTAGCACCAACAAGGGTGAAGCTTGTAAGTTAAGGTTGTAATTATAATGCAATTAAATGCAAAGGTGCAAGCGAGCTGGACAAGAATGATGAAAATAATCCGTGGAGAAGGGGAACAAGAGGGACAAAGGACAAAAATAAATCTCCAAACACAGCTAGGTGACTGGTGAGCGACCGAAAAAATCCGCCTGGTCCGGGTATCGAACCAGGGACCTCTCCATCAGTAGTCAGCACTACACAAACTCAAAAAAAGTAATTAAAGTAAACTACTGATTACCGAAATAAAATGTAATTGAAAGTTACTCAAATACTCAAAAAAGACGGTTGGGTCGACAAAACCCCGGACCGAGGCAGCTGAGGCATGTGCGAAAGAAGGCTTTCGTCGCCACCATGACAAGCACACCGACGTCGTCGGGTGCGTCGACTAAACTTAGACTCTAACTAAACCTTCGTCACCGTCATCATCGGTCTGAAGGAGACCGTCACCATCCTGAAGGACTCCAACACTTTGCCGCAAACACCATTTTGCCATTAACAACATGGTGGTAAGATGACGTTTAAACTTCAGGGTTTCTACCGCTTCGAAGTTAGTGCACGCTTAGTACCTATGTCTTCAGTTGACAATTTGTTGCGGTCTGTAGCTACTGTCAATCACGCAATAAAATCTGGATGGGTTGCTGATGGCATTCTGTTGTATCAATTAGATATTTTACCTTTTCACGCCAAGCTGCTCGAATTGCAGGTCAGTCATCGGAGAGTCATAAGAACACTTTTCGATGCCCTGCAATAAACTACCAACAGGTCTGTTCTAAAATGAATCGTTACTTGTCTAGACAGCAGCAGTTTAGTCTGACAGAGTATGGTAACATTGTTACCCACTGTAGACGAGAAATTTAGCCAGTGTCTTGTGGATGGTTGTCATCTTCGTGACCAAGAAAAACAATAAAAATAGAATTGTCCTACATTCAACACACGTGTGTTTAATGTAAAGGTTATTATAGCAATTAAATGGATTGTCGTTTCAATAGTGACAGTAACTCATTGAAATTAAAGAGTGGTGTGAGCTGGATTTTTGAAATTTGCCTGTGATGCAGAGCAAATACGCACTGTTGGCTTATCACCATCAAGCATAAACGACAAGCGGAGGCAGTGTAGATGTGTGAAGGAAAAGCGAGCATATGTACTAAAGAAAGAACTGCTAAGTAACGTGAAGAATGTCAGCAACTATCTTGCCATCGTGGTACGAGCTCAGTGGCTATGCACATGCTTATAGCAGCCTGTGAATGTAGGATGCTCCCCCTATGTGGCAAAGCCAGGGGGGGGGGGGGGTTTATGGGGCTTCGCTCCTTCCCTCCCCAAATCCGGCGGGCCCTAGAATATACACACAAATTCCGACACCATCCCCCCCGCACCCCAAGTCATGAACATCCCAGCGACCTCAACCCCCCTCCATCCTCACCCCCTTAGAAGTTCCTGGCTACGCCACTACTATCAACAGCACTCAATAGATAGTCAACATTATCAAGATAAACGAAATTTATTTTATTTTATGCACCATATAGGCGGTGTTTTTGTCTTTATATGCATGCAGCCAAAGCACACACTGTAGAAAACACTTGTGTGAAGCCTGCGTTCACAATGCGGTCCCCGTCAAACTTTCAAGGCGTTAACGAATTCCACAAATTAAATTTTCAACGAAACGAATTCGTTTTGCAAAACGCTGGCAAACTTACGTTGCGTTTTACATCAATCACCTTTGTCGTCCGATGAATCAGTAGTCAGCACTACACAAACCTCAATGAGCTTGTCGTTTGTTTTCTTGCAGTTGGGGCGATCGCTGGCGGGCGGCGGCACAATTCTTTCTCAGACCGTTGGCTGCTGCCTCCGTGCTCGCGGAAACGTGGTTCCCTTTGTGTCAAGGTGAGGTTTTGAATCTTAATGCACGGCAACGCTGAATAAAGGTCTATTACCGTCTTCATAATTTCAGCAACGCTACCGTACGAGTCACAACAACACCACCACTTTCAAGCTTCATAACACCGGCACAAATAGAAGCCAAGTCTTGCATCTCGCCAAGCGTTACATCGGAGACGTTAAACGCCAGCTCACTGTGCTCTTCGACCCGGTCCTGCCGCCGAATGGGCTCATCCAACAGCACGAAAGTATTCGTGTGCGCGTTGATCAAGTGACCGATCGCATGTCAAACCCCAGCCGCGGTCGATCCGACGAGCATCGCGGCCACGTTCTTTCGAGTTTAACTCGCCAAGGGTACGGTTGTCGAGTTAAAACAATGCAAATAGTCCCGTGCATTCTTGTTCTTACGTCATTTTGTCGTCACAACCGGAACTCGAAAAATGACTGTTAGCGGCAAACAGAGGCTTTCTAGTTTCACGAACGTTTCCATGGCAAATGGCGTTGAATCGTCACGCGCAATGAAGCCAATGGGAAAGCGAGGTACCTATGTAGGGCCGTGTAAAAACGTAAAAGCCGTTTGTTTTTTTTGCACGAGCTATTCTGCCAAAAGAAAAATAAGTAAAAAAGACTGCCCGAGATTATGCCGTCGCGTGCATTTCTTCAGCGCCGAAAGAGAAGAGCATGGCTTATGGAGATTATACCGGCATAATCACTGCAGTGAGCAAAGGAGCAAAGCATTATTAAAACTGCCCGAAGAAACTTTCCTGCATCATCCACAGAATGCTCACAAACGTTGCACTCTGCGTCGATCTCATGACTTGTAATATACTACCATAGAGTCGTCGTCAGCTCTGTATCCATTTGAAGTCTCCTTCACAGAAAAACAGGAAATTTCATTTGCAGCTTATGTTCACGGCGGCTTCACAAAGGATGATCGGTGTCGCAGCGCACCTTCACGTAATATTTTTTTTTTTCTCGTAATGCCATCCGCATCGTGCAGAAGCAGGGAAAGCAACGACGCAAACGAGACACAAACACCACAAGGTCGTTACCGCGGTTTTCGCCATGTTTGTTTTCAAAGACCGTAGCGAAAGACTTCGAGAAAACAAGCTGAGGAATCTTAGCTAAATTTACTTTACGTCATAATTATTGAAATAATATTTCGTATTTTATAAAAAGATAATATTATTTTTCTCTGTTTCCTTCCATTTTCCGGAAGGTAGCCTTTTCTTCGTTATTCGCTCGTTTTAACTCCCCGAGGAAAGAAAGAAGATAACAAAAAAAAAAAACAGGGGTAAATGCGGGGATTTCTGCGCCCCAACTGCGTGGACACGTCATCGCGACGTAGGGGGATCGTCAGATTCTAGCTGACCGCGTGCGTGAACCCGAACGTTGGGGCGGAGCCTCAAACAAGAATCATTCTTGTTGGAGGCTCCGCCCCTTCTTTTTCGATACGTCACAACTTGAAAGGTTCCGTTTGCGACCAGAGTAGCACCCCAGGTGCGGGCACTGCGCGAGCGCAGGAACCAGATTCGCGTGAGGTGAAGCTTCTGCGCATGCGCCGTGACGACAACTGCGCCACCGCAAAGGCGTAACGTCAGACCCACGTGTTGGTCTATGAACACCGAGTACAAAAAGCTCGTGAGATTGTAGAGGCTCACAAAATAGAAAAAAAAAAGGAGGGCACAACCTGCGTGAGTCGGGCTTCCTTAGTTTTGATAGACAGTGAGGCAGAATTTTTAGATCGGGGAAGATCACCCATGAAATTGAATAACCGATAGCTGCCAATTCTGTGATGCGCCATCGCCATTCCATCATGAGTAGAGAATCGTGTTTCTTAATGTTTTTTTGTTTTTTTTTTGTGGTTTATTCAGAATAAGCCCACAGTTGTCAGTCAACGCTAGTACCGTCGCTTTCTATTCTCCGTCCGTGTAACATTCGCGCCGTTTCAAGATAATTAACATTCCCAAAACTGTTGCACGGCCTCCGTAACGTCATTCCGAAGAAAACTGTCGCTATCTGGAGTGCCTTTCATTTTTAAATATTTGCAGTCCGAAAAGAAAATAGTCTATATAATATCTGCAATAAAAATAAAATAACAATTTTTGTTTTCTGCAAGAATAAATTACACATCGCCCGTAAGCTCATTCTCCGCCCAAATGTAGCGCGGTCCGAATCAGCTGGCAAAGTTTCAGTCCTAACCGCTATCTTATTAAAAATTAGTTTTTTTTTTTTTTAGATTTTCAATGCGAAAATGGCAGCCGACGGAGCTCTCAATCACATGAAACTCTATAACACCAGTTACCGAACAGGAGAGAAAATGGGCAACTTTGGCAGCTGGTTCGAACCGCTAGTGCTACATTTGGGGGAAAAAAAAAGAGTGTTCGGAAACGCATAGGTTTTTTTGTTTTTTTTTAATAAAACAAACCTTGCACATGTTGCATTTCTTTTACTCAATAAGACCGGGAGAAGACAAGATAGGATTGTATTGAACGTAATTAAAACAAGTAAAAATTAACATATAACAGAAGGATGAAGTAGGCTGCATATCGTGCATTCTTCGTGGAAAAAATGCCGATGGGACGATGTGTAGGAAGCACTTGGTAGGCTAAGAGGTATCGTATTCAGGGAGTAACACATGTCATTTCTGCCCTTCTGTGTAACCAAGGAGAGCCTCGAGCTCCTCAGCACCCAAGGTAAATAGTCCGGTTCACTGCCTTCCGACGCCAAACTGCGTCTAGACATCTTCTGGCTTTCATCGATGGAGGGGGCTAAACAAACGGCTCACGGCGGAGAGGAACCTAAACTCGACCAGGAAGGTAATCAGGAGTAAGGAGAGGTATAGAACAATGAGCATTACGCCTACAGCGCGTGAAGAACGGAACCACGTGGCAATCATGGAGAAGAGGAGTAAAATCAGGCCGGCCACGAGAGCTATATAGATTATTGTTAGGAGGTCGCTATATTGCAACTCGATGACAGAGAGGCCCTGCGAAACGAAGTTTATGTTGAAGGCGACTCCAGTGCCGAGCAGCAAGGCAAACACGGGGCCGGCGAAGCAGGCTGACATTGCCATCTGGGGAAAGCCTTGCTTGGCCAAGGAAAGATTGGTCACCAGATCCCCGATGTTGTTTCCCCAGGCCAAAACTGTCATCCCCAGAAGCACGTCGCTGATGCCGCTGAGTACACCGAAAGCCTTGAGTAGCGCCACAATTTCCGTGGCTATACCATAGATCCAGACGACTGACACGACGAAGCCCGCGTAAGCGAAGGCACCATGGTAGCTCGGTGGCTCCTGTGCCGTTGACGTGAGCCTCACGGCTGTGGCCAGTGCCAGTCCAAATACGAGCACGAGTGCCCAAAGGGGCACTAAGCCTCCAATGTTAACAAAGGTGGCCCCGAACACACTCAGGGTCAGGATCGGGCTAGTGACGCACTGCAAAGCGTTCAAGGGACGGCACCAGTTTGTACGCCGGTTGTGGGGATCGACCACGGGCACCGTTAACACAAGGGCCAGGTGGATGGGCAGGGTGAGCACGTCGTACAACTTGCAACATGGATGCTTGGTGTTCCACTCGTGTGGCTCTGCGGGGCATAGCTGCAGCAGCAGCTCTGTCCACTCGCCGTACTCGGCTCTCGGCTCCGTCCGACTACCGAGAAGTGGCGTCTCTTCACCGCTAAACACGGTTGCGCTGCCAGCGGGGCGGGAGGGGGACTCGTGCGGCGGTTGCGGAGGGTCCCTCTGGAAACGTTCGTCCGACTCTTCCACAGACGTGGTGAAAAAGCTGATGGCGTTTTCGTGGTGGTGATGCAAGCTCACACCAGAAAACGTGCGTCGCAGACTGGGCCTTCGCGCAAACGGGATCGGACTTGCGACGGTGTCCTCCGCCTGCAAAGCGTCACCGCCGCCGCTCTCTTCCGTATCTTCGGGGGCTATGCAGGCAACTCTGCTTGGGCTACCACTGGACGTGCTGGTGCTGATCGACCGTTCGTGCAAGACAGAGGCAACTCTCGACCTGTTCCGACGACACGCAGTGATCAAAGACGGACCGAAAACGGCCACCGTAATGTAGACAAGGTAGAGAACAATGAAGCTTGCTGCTTGGCCGACGGTGATGGATTTGTGGAGATAGAGCACAAACACCCAGTAGGAAACGATGAGGTAGAAAAAAACGTCTCGCAAGAGGGAGGACGGGATGACATCAAAGTCGTTGCTGATAAAAATGAGTCCCACGACCACGGTAGCCACGTAAGTTCCACCGCCGAAGAGTTCGCCGATGGCTAGTGCCGTTCGGTTGCTTCTAATGCTGGCTATCGTGGCTATGGCGTCTGGGGCGCCGTTGCCGAAGGCCAGTAGCGTGACGCCGGTGATGCTTTGCGAGAGCTGCATTGACTTGGAGATGACGACCAGCGCTGGACACAAATACGAGCTGGCGGTTGATCCGAGGGTCACGAAGAGCGTGACCAGCCACAGGAACAGCAGTGCCAAAGGCCAGTATCCCCACGTCGGCCAGCAGTACAGGAAGTCGATGTAGGGCAGCAGCCCACGGCCCGTGTCGCAGTCGTTCAGGGCATGCAGTAGCAGGCAGCGGGCTTCACTGCTGTTGCCAAGCTCGTTCACGAGGCTGCAGTCCAGTAGGGTCCCGTTCGGTGCTGACATGGCCGAGCTGTTCCTTCGGACGTCCTGGGTAACATGCATTCCGGGTCGTGCTTGAAGCGACAGGGGGCGTATTGTGTCCTGCTGATTTTGCTGATTCTCCTGATACGATGTACGTCTTTCCACAGTGGTAGACGTCACGAAGCAAAAATGCTTTCTTGCTGCATTTTCCTTTTTCCACCGACGCATAATCTTTCCAAAATCTTTACGAACTCGAACAAATGCTTCATTTAGGAAGCACAAATCGCGCGCGTGTTATCAAATATATCTTGGTACCGTGCACTGTCACTTACAAATGTGGTGACGAAGTTTGAATACGCATAACAAGACGTTTTGAAGGGAAAGATAGCCAATGAAAGAAAACTGGCAATGCAAAATTGTCCGTGAATCGACGTAGCAAGTTAAAAAAATCTCTCAAATGTGTATTTAAACATAAACCCATTATGTATCGGTAGAGTTATACATTTAAAAATAAATCTGATAACAAAAAAAAAAAAAAATCTCGCCGGTAAAAAATTTGAAGATCCAGTTGTAAAACCCCGACTGTTTTTTAAAGTTTTTTTTTTTTTACCTTTTCTTGGAATTTCGAGACAACATTTCCAATACATGTTTCCATTTAAACTTTCGTTCGTAAGTGACACACACACAAAAAAAACTTTTGACCCGCTTTTTACACTGCAAAAACACAAAATTACTGCGCAAACGAGCAGGTGTAAATTACAACATAATACGAAGAAACGGAGCTTTCAAGTTTGTTTTCCCCAGAGCTCGATGTTTCCTTTCATTTCATTTATTTTATCTCGGAAGATTCGGGCCAAATGCCCGTACCGGTTGGTCTGCATACCCGACACAAGGCCTGTGGATTTGGATCGTTACGTAATGTAAAAAAAGTGTTGACAATAAACGGAGTGACGTTGGCGGGACCCGGGAGGCGACAAGCCGGATTCCTTCCGAAAGCAGTCGTCAGAAGATACAAGCTTGACACACTTGGGCCTTTGTGTTGGGCAGGTGCTCGTCACATTCACGATGCATGCTGCATTGTTCACGCAGGCCGCCACAAAAAAGTCCCTCCTCGGGCGACGGGAGAATATGAGACCCAGCGCAACGCTGACGCAGTGTTTGGCTATGTCTGCCGAGCGCTGCGTCATTGTTTTTGTTGCTTCCATTGGTGTATACGTTTAAAGATAGCCGCTTGGAGCGCAGCGGTTGAATCGCCTCCCCAACAGGTAAAATAAGGGACAGGACAGACTCAAAAGTCTGAAACACACCTGGGGCTCTAAACTTGTCAAACAAAAAGTTGGGGCCGAAGTTCACGGAGCGTACTGATTGGACTATCTCGACGATGACTTCGCGCTTTTGTCGCCGGACTCCAATCGGCGCGCTTCGCGAACTTTCGGCTCCAACTTTGTGTTTGACGAGTTTAGGCAATACCACCTAGAACACAAGGCCTGCGCGGTTCCTCCTCTAAACGTCAACCCTAGTAGATCCCCTCAGCGCCCCCTGGGTAGCCCCGATGAGTTCCATCGTCTGCTACATCGTCTGCTCCATCGCCTGCTCCATCGCCTGCTTCAGTGGTCGTGCTCAGAACGACCTTACATTGCTAAGATCGGCAATCTTGTTGGTGTCGCATGCACGTTGCAAATGATCTGTGGTAGCTCGTTATTAGCTCGCACTAAGCAGTCTCGCACGCAGCTGTGGTCGCCAGTAAATGCGGCGTAATTCCTCCGAAAACCCACGGGAGCGGCGAACGCCGATAAAGGATTCGGAGTCTACGTAAGCAGACGCTTTGCGAGCCCTGTTTCGTCACGCCAACAGCTGAAACATTTCATTACGGTCAATCCGCTTGCGAAGCGGGATCCACTGATCGCAACTGCAACGACAATCAAATAACAACGAACGCATAAACGAAGATAGAGCAGTCTATTTAGCGGTCTCAAACGCCACTCATAGGATCACACGAGTTTGGAGCGCATCTGGGAAGCGGAAGAAAGGCGTTTAGCTGCTCGAACTACGTCGCAAGAGGTTACTGTTGATCCGTTGCAGACTGCGTTGTCACAGTTTCCTACCTAAATAGGTGATCATTAAAACGTGCGAAAACAACATGTTAAGATTACCAAAGCAAGCGAACCAGCCGCTGCAGCACAAAAAAAAAAAAAAAGTAACGAGAAAATGATTGTGCAAACATTTTCCGAACTTTGCAGGAAAAATGGGGTCCCCTTCTCAGAGGAAAATGAAGAGAAATGGGGAACAGGTAGCAAACAACGGCGAATAAAAGAAAACTTTAGCAGCCGATAGAAAGATACAAATCACCCAGCCAAGAACTCCTTGAACGACGACGATCATTGCGACAGAGTGGAAAAAAGAAAAAGAAAAACAAAGCAGCAGCATAAAAAATGAGCTTTTCTTTTCTTTTTGTTTGTTTTAGGTTAATTTTAATGTTGCAGCAACTTAATTACTCACGTTTGTTCGGTCTTCGGGGGGAAGCGGAAGAAGGATTTTCTGACACATCGCAAAAACTTGTTTTTGCAGTGGTAGGCAGCACATCACATGCCTGCCATCTCCAAGTATGTGCTGGTGTATGCCGAAGGCGGCCGGTTGATCAACAAACGATGACCCATAGCAGACGTTCCGGCGTAGACAAATAAAATTCGAATATTAATGTATAAAGATCTTGCAGATTTTACTATATTTAATAAATACAAAAAAGCAAATATGAAGATTTCGAATTAGAAACTCAATCGGAGGATCAGTGATCGGGAGCGAAAATAGGAGGTTATCGCAGACGACAGTGGAAGAAAACAACAACAACAACAAAGTTGCAGACGTTCCTCAAAATGTCCGGGCACAGCGTAGCAGACGGACGAACTGCAGAAAACAGAGCAAAAACTAATCCAAACAAGGCAAAACAAAATACGCAATGGTTCGAACGTCAAGTAAACAAAAATTAAGAATAAACACACAAAAAAAAACAAAAAAACATAAGAGCATTAGGAATAAAGAACGGGACGTCGTAGCGTCCCCTCAAAAATAAAAAGAAAGTAGACTTGGAAAAATGGAAAGAGTTGCAGACGGTCTCAAGGGTGCCGGCTTTTATCGTAGAAGGCGACGAAGACGTTAGTCGTCCGAGCGCTAACAATCGGAATTCGTGCACCGTATATAACGTGACCGAATCACCTTTCTTTTCTTTTTGTTTTTTTTTTTCACTACAACCCTTTCCTCGTTTTTTTTTCTTTTGGACGCGCAAAAAGGCTGCTTTGCTTGTAACTCCGCTTTTATTAGTTTCACTTTTACTAATAGCGTCAGATTTGCATGTGCACAATCGAGTTCTTCCAGAGCATACTGACTCGCAATAACGTATGTGGTTCGAAATTGCCTTTTGCTTCTTCATCCTATTCGCCTACTCATGAGAAATGGGAACTGCAACAACAAAACTAATTGATTGATAAGAACAGTAAAGTTGAAACGTAACTACGTTCTAAAATGTTTGTACGTTGCCCTTTTTTTCAAAAGACAATGTGAAGGTACAGTACATTCGTGTTTTGTTGTAACAGAGTGTTTTCTTCGGGATAGTCCCAAAATTGCAACCTGAAAACTCTAACATCTTTCCCACTCGAAGAAAATGTCCTTCACTTATGAGGAGGCACCTATTTTTTAACATTCAAAGCAAAGAATACCCGTGACAATTTTTTTTTCTATTGGTCACCTCGCACGGAAATGGGCAAAACCAATGCGTAGCCGAGAATTCGTCTGCTAGCGGATGCTCCGAGCTCGCGCCGCGAGCACTTTTCGCCCGCGCTCCGCGGGGCCCCTACTCTCGTCAAGCTTCGGGGTGTCTGCCGCTTGAAGCGGATCGGGCATCTACTAACGAAACGTCATGCGCAGGCCCTGTCTTCTAGCTGGTATTGGTTTAGGGCCCCTGAATATTTATTTGAAAAGAAAGCTCTTAACTATAGCCTGAACACAAAAACGTTAAATGGGCAATGCATCAATTTAAACTTCGAAAGAGTTTGCAGTTTATCATTTTTACACTGTTTATCTCACCAAAAGGGACGAGGAAACCGCCTAGTTCTTTTGCAATATATTGATTCTGTTGCGTAATAGCGAAGTAAAGAACGCGGAATATTTTAAGATTTTGCAACCGCGGGGTGGTGGCCATGTGAACTAAGGCGTGACGCAGACCTGGGTGCATTGTAATAAATTCGCAAGATGTGCCATTATATGCTCGAGCTAATGCTATATTTTATAAATATTGTGAACTGCAACAGAGGCCGCGCGCGCCAGAGGCTGCGCGCAGCCTCTGTTCCCGGGTGCACTGTGTCCCCAGTGCACCCGGGAACACGTCACAATGCACGTGACTCGGAAGACGGTGAGAGAGTTTTGTGGTGTGGAGGCGCCCAAAATGTGAATCGTTTGACTTTTTTATTATTAGTTTTTTAGAAACTAACGTGCACAGGCAAATTTGGTTTTCATTTCTTTAACCCAGACGTGACAAAGAACGACTATCACAATTATTTGACCGAAGTCCAAACACTCTTGCACGACCCTTTAAAGGGATACTGAATCAAAACTTAAAATATACCTCTCACGTTCAGAAATGATTTAAATATGATCAACTTAATCTGCTAATGGCAATTGCACGCATGTATTTTGAACGGATGGCTATATTTTTCGTTCCAAAGGACCGACTCCAGCGAGCGCTTGAAGACCAGCTATCGAAGAGCGCGATGCATCACGGGATCTGGACCAATTGACGTCATAGATGTGAAGTCACTTGGTCCAGCACGGGCAAAGCTGCTTGGGGGCTGGCGTGATTATAAGCTCTGGCTACTTTGCGTCGACTACTGATCTCTGTGTCTATTTGCTGGATCGCGTTGGCGCGCTCCGCGAATGCGGCCACTGGCGGCCATCTCTTTGGTAGAGTTATATTACCTCTAGCCACACCAGATAGTATGGTTGCGCAATCTACCACCCGTTAGATAGGGTGCAGCTGGTGCAGCCACTATTACCCATCCATGCAGAATGCGTTGTGGCAGTTGTGGTGG